ATAAACACTTGGTCATTGAGGATCCACAACTGGAATGTCTGTACAGAGAAATTGGCAGGCCAAATAAACACTTGGTCATTGAGGATCCACAACTGGAATGTCTGTACAGAGAAATTGGCAGGCCAAATAAACAATTGGTCATTGAGGATCCACAACTGGAATGTCTGTACAGAGAAATTGGCAGGCCAAATAAACACTTGGTCATTGAGGATCCACAACTGGAATGTCTGTACAGAGAAATTGGCAGACCAAATAAGATGCAGATGAGAGACAGTTGAAGAAAAAGGAGAGATTCGGAAATAGATAAGAGCATACTGGGCATAGACAGCGACAGGCAATTCCGGCTCATACCAGCAAGAAGCCAGTATAGGAACTGCTCATTCCTGCCAAAGACAATCAGGGACTGGAACAAGCTTTCAAAAGGAAGAGTTGAGGTGACAACACTAGACACATTTGCGTCTATTGCCTCAAGCCTTTCAACCCGCAGTGCATGATTACCTCACAAAGTAGCACATGCAATCAGTGAAATACCCTCATCAATACCAGGCACTGAAACATTGCAAATCCCCTCTACATGCATAGGAGCAAAAATGATCAATCATGGCCCTTAATATATGTAAAAAGAAGTGTGCAAAGGATAAAAAAGCCAAAGTTCTGCCACTTCACGGGTATGAATTTTTACAAGTAGTTCTTTAATTCTAATTTAATAAAAAGCAGAATTAAGTAACTTACTTAAAAAGCTTTTTCCACAATTTACTCGGAACACTGAAGTCACCATCAAATTCAAATTCATCCTCAAGGTCCTCGTCCCCCATTTTTTCCGCCTCCCTCTCTGCTTCCTGCCTATCAATTTTCTGCTGCCTGTTGGTAAGAGGATTAATTCCAAAATATTAACATTGAATTAACTTTTTTGAAACATGCAAAGAAATTGTTGAGTCTGTTTAATCTTGTATTAAACAGATCTGACAAATCTATCTTGTTGAGTCTGTTTGGTCTATTATTAACTAGATCTGGCAAATCTATCTTGTTGAGTCTGTTTGGTCTTTTAATAAACAGATCTGACAAATCTGTCTTGTTGAGTCTGTTTGATATTGTATTTAATAGATCCGGTAAATCAATCTTGTTGAGTCTGTTTGGTCTTGTATTAAATAGATCTGGTAAATCTATCTTGTTGAGTCTGTTTGGTCTTTTATTAAACAGATCTGACAAATCTGTCTTGTTGAGTCTGTTTGGTCTTGCATTAAACAGCTCAGACAGATCTAAAAATGGACATCCAAATAACATGAACCAGTGAGCCAGACAATGACCTACTTAAAAAGCCTTCTCTGATAAGCCTCTGGATCAGCGTCGTCTTTCTCCTGTCTGATGGACAAATCCCTCTTGACCTTGGTCCGGGTTGGCTCATCTTCACCTACAGCTTCTCTGTATTTTGGAGGTGGGCGGGGCTTCTTTCTCCTGGCAGAATTCCTGGAATGCCTTCTTTTTCTCTTGCTTGCCCCACAAAGGTTTTCATCTCTCCCCTCCTCCTCTTCTGTGAGGTCTACTTAGAAAGACCAGGATATTTTTTTCAAAATATATCAAAATACTTTTCTAAGAAATTTCACATGGTAAATCAATTGAAGGTGAATACTAAGTGTTAAATATATCGCTCCTACCTCTTCTGTGAGGTCTGCTTAGAAAGACCAGGATATTTTTTTCAAAATATATCAAAATACTTTTCTAAGAAATTTCACATGGTAAATCAATTGAAGGTGAATACTGAGTGTTAAATATATCGCTCCTACCTCTTCTGTGAGGTCTGCTTAGAAAGACCAGGATATTTTTTTCAAAATATATCAAAATACTTTTCTAAGAAATTTCACATGGTAAATCAATTGAAGGTGATACTGAGTGTTAAATATATCGCTCCTACCTCTTCTGTGAGGTCTGCTTAGAAAGACCAGGATATTTTTTTCAAAATATATCTAAATACTTTTCTAAGAAATTTGTTTGTGGTCACCTTAGGGGGAGTAACAAAGGAACTGCGCTTCCTTCGGTGTTTCCCCTTCCCAAGCAACCAGATATTTTCTGTGATTTCTTTACAAGCAAAGTAGCTGACATTCGAGCTGAGCTTGATCGTCTTGATGCCCCTCCCCTTGAATGTTCCTTCTTTCCCTTGTCTTACTTCACATTTTAATATTTTTAAACCTGTTTCAGAACTTGAGGTAAAAAATATAATCCTAAAATCTAAACATACGTCATGTTCTTTGGATCCCATCCCAACCCCCCTGTTGGTTGAGTCATTAGATATCTTGCTCCCAACAATAACCCGCATAATAAATGAAAGCTTATATTCTGGCACTGTTCCGCCTCTTTGCAAATCAGCTGTCATCAAACCATTGCTTAAGAAGCCCGGTCTGGATGAAAATAATTTAAAAAACTATAGACCTGTATCTAACTTATCATTTTTATCTAAAGTTATTGAAAAACTAGTCCTAAAACAACTTTTTGCTTACTTAAATGATCACTCTCTTCTCAGTTCTAATCAGTCGGCCTATAGACATTTCCATAGCACGGAGACAGCTCTCTTGAGAGTCAGTAATGACCTCTTGCGCGCAATGGACAGCGGTAATGTCTCCATTTTGATCCTCTTAGACCTCAGTGCGGCCTTTGACACTGTTGACCATGAAATCCTTTTCAAAACCCTTGAAAACTACTTTGGAATTTCTGGTTCGGTTTTGGCTTGGTTTAGGTCCTACCTCTCTGATAGAACGCAAATGGTCTCTGTCGATGGCTGTCTCTCCGGCAGTGCTGATTTGGTGTACGGAGTGCCACAGGGGTCCGTTTTGGGTCCGGTTCTATTCATAATGTATACCAGGCCACTACTCCTCTTGCTCGGGAGGCATGCTGTTGAGAACCAGTCATTTGCAGATGATACACAGCTATACATGCATACCCATCCATCTCTTGTCGATTCCGCTGTCCAGACTTTGCGGGGGTGCATTGATGATGTCAAGTCTTGGATGACACTCAGCAAGTTGAAGCTTAATGATGACAAAACAGAAGCACTCCTCATTTACAATCACAAATCATCCTCTACCTCAACTCTTCCCACCTCATTTCAAGTAGGTAACTCCGACATACAGTTTACACCCTCTGCTAGGAATCTTGGTTATATTCTTTCTAACAACATGTCTCTCGATAAACATATCTCTCACATTTGTCGTTCGGCATACACCGCCATCCGTCAGATCAGCTCCATCCGCCACTACCTGACAGTTAGCGCAACAAAAACTCTAGTCTGTGCTCTTGTTCTCTCTCGTCTTGACTATTGCAACTCACTTCTGTCAGGTTCACCGAAACATTTTATAGAAAAACTGCAGAAAGTTCAAAACTCTGCTGCTAGGCTTGTTCTTAAGGCAAAAAAACATGATCACGTCACTCCACTACTCCACTCACTACATTGGCTCCCTATACAGGCACGCATTGACTACAAGCTGTCTCTTCTCTGTCACAACTTTTTCTCGGATTCCTGCCCTTCCTATCTAACTGAACTTCTTTCTGTCTATTCACCCCTTCGACAACTTCGCTCCTCCGCAGACTCGCGTATTCTGTCCGTTCCCAAGACACGCACTAAATTATATGGTGAACGATCTTTCTCTTTCTGCGCCCCCAAACAATGGAATTCTTTGCCACTACACATCCGCAATATAACAACCACACAGGCCTTCAAAACTGCACTCAAAACACATCTATTTAAACTATACTACTCTGACTGATTCTCCTCCTATAAACCGATAAACGTACATGGGTTTCCTTGTAAAAATGTCTGGTGTGGGTGGATGAATAGACCTATGGTGTTGTTTTGCTTATATGTTGTTTCTATTTCATTTATGTATTTTATTTTTATATTATGATTATGCCTCTTTGCTATATTTATGTACAGCGCGGTGAGCCAAGCCCTAGGCCGGGGTACCGCGCTATATAAGACCACTTATTATTATTATTATTATTATTAAAGACCAGGATATTTTTTTCAAAATATATCAAAATACTTTTCTAAGAAATTTCACATGGTAAATCAATTGAAGGTGAATACTGAGTGTTAAATCTATTGTTCCTACCTGTATATTATAAAGGTAAGAAAATTCTGATCAAAAGTTTTAAAAGGTTATCAAAAGATATTTGTCTATCTTCAATCTTTAGGATCATATACCCTCTCAATGTTCCCCATCAAGAGTATTTTATGACTGGATGTAATCTTGTGATTTGAGGGAACTAATATTTTATAAATCACCAGTGGTGCTTGTATTTAATTGGGAGACAACTCACTGGTGTCCTACTACTGTAATGAGAGTTGCAAACCCCATCACAAGATGTTATGCACGATAAAAAAAAACGTAACCTACAGTGGAAACAGTGTGCTATAACTAAGACGTTGTTAATACCAGAATAGTCATCAGAAGACTCAACATCCTGAGTTGGCTTGTAATCATCACCGTCATCATCATCCACACTCGCTACATCTTCATCATCATCATCATCCCTGCATAAAGAAATAAAAGTATCATAAAAACATTGTCTGTTTTAAGTTAATTCATTTCTCAATTGTTAATATTGAGGTAGTTGTTTTTATTTACCTGGACCAATGCTTTTCATTATAGATTTTATTTTTTGCCCTCCTGCCCAATTTTGATAGACTTTCTTTTTTCTCTGTTCTGGCATCGGCTAAGTCTTGTGATGTGTCTTGCTCCACAGAAAGCTGCTCCCTTGAGCCATCTCTTGAACTAGATGGCAAGAAACCTCGGGCAGATTTTCTCTTTAAATATTTCTTAAAATCCTTCTGAACTTTACGTGACGATGACTCTTTAGCCATAAGCATTTTCTCAAAACCCGAAACGTGAGAGGGCTTGGTGACTGGTTTCTGAGATGAAGTCTGCACAACGGTACCAAAAGGGGTCATAACTCCAGTTCTTATTAGCAGCTCTCTTTCGCTCTCCCGTTTGGTCCCTATTTGAAATGCCTGGTCAAAAGTGCTGCTGCCTGATGAAATGAAACATTATTTAAATGACTCTTTTTCAACATTTTAGACCGAAAAATACAGAATTAATCTATAGTAAATAGTAAAAACACTAGATCCAAACTATAAAAAGAACATAACTACAACCTCTCATAAAATATAGTGTGTGAAAAAATATGTCTTGGACTTTAAAACATTATCATATCTGAAAAAGATATTGTGAAAAATTTATTTTTTAATTTAAAAAGTACAGTTAAATACATTTGATTTGTATTCACCAAGACATCTAGAAGTAGAGAAATGCCACACACAATGTATTACTATTGAGCAGAAAATTTAATGTGCTCAAGTTGTGATTTTTCGATTCTAATATTTCAGTCTTTCTATAATCTTTCAAGTAATTAAAATCAAAGTTGGTCCGGAAGAACAACTTAATAATTGCAAACCTTGTTCTGAGATTTGAGTATCTTCTGTTGTCTTATCGAATGCCTTCAGCTTTCTGGTAACATTCTCACGACGAACCTTCAAGGTTTTTAACTGTCTTAGCTTGCAGAATAAACAAATTAAACTGAATAAAATAAATGTCATGAATTTGGTGAGTAGCGAAACGCAAGTTTAACATGTCAACAGATGTCAATCACAACAGCAACCACCAATACATCATGTAGTTGTAAGTATGATTTTAATAGTAAGGACACTTATTTTATATTCATGTATATGTATATACTAAACCATCTAATAAGCACAAATGTCCAACTTATATATTATATTAAATGTATAAAAATAAAAATCCGGTTACACCCCTTTGTGATGACCCCTGGGTCGCTGATCAAATAATGTTCTTTAACTTTCCTCAATGCCCGAAGGGTGAATTGTTACTCACCTTATTTTCTTTTTGCTTCCGTATTGATTCAAGTTGGCGCTGAATCTCCCGAGACTGGCTGCCCTGATTCTCCAAACTAGTCTCAGCTCTGTTTACACGATCAAGGTCATTCTTTGACAACCTGTATCATCAGGTCATAGGTTTATATAAGAGGAATTATTTTTGGTGACTTATTTAAAATAAAAAACAAGAAGATAATTATCTTAACCACAGCCCCATTATTTTAATGATTATCCAATATTATTAAGATAATGTGCTCCACAGATAAAGGGAACACAACTCACAGAATGTCATCGTTAATGGTCTTCAGTTCTTTCTGTAGAATGTTTCTTAGACGAATTTCTTCCTCGTGGGCCAAGGCCTGATCAACTTGATCCATAATTCCTATTTTAAAATTACATGTATAAAATAATTTTTTATATGGCTTAAAAATTATTGAAAGAATGAATGCACACTTTCACCTCTATCTGTGCTTGGGCTCTCTTAAGAATCAAATACAAAATTTATTTTAAAAAACGATAAAGGGTAAACGATGCTTTAGGGTGGAGTAACATATTAAAGCAAAGCTTTTTTTTTTAAAATCTATATAAATGCATACATGAATGAATAGCAGTTTGATCAAAAATATAATAAGTAAGTCCTGCTAATGTTTCAACTAGTATTGCACACCACACACCTTTCAGCATACTATGTGAGCTATACTAATAGCTTCTGAAATTCATACCATGCTCTAGAAAACTAAGTTACACTTATATCTGCAACAAACCTTGTTCAAATACATCTTGATTAAAGACACTCAGACCCAATGCCTGCAGTTCTGATGCTTGATCATCTAATGCAGCTTGTGGAATGAGACCGGTATCAACATGGAACGCATCTTTCATGCTTGCTACCTCTTTGGCTTCCTCTGGAGTCACCAGCTGTGCTGAACTAGTTGACTCCACAGCATTATTCTGATTACTCATTTTCATCTGATTAATATTGAAGCCTCTTCTTTTGTTTTCTGCCAGATCCATGATGCTGAAATCTGATAAGTGACAATTTTAAAAATAATATAGGCAAATATAATTAATATTATATGCATATTATATCAGTTCATTAATATATTTCATAAGCTGTCTAACTGCAAATAGAATTATATGTATGTGTTACGACATTCAGTGCTTGTAACTATTGAGCTGTATTCAGTTGTTGAAATGAACAGAACTTCATATAATTTTTCTCATCATTTTGACTTCCTAAAATAAGTAAAAGTTTTGCTTATTTTATGGAGAGTAATGAAGTCATGAAGTCGGCCATCTGGCAATGTCACATTTCAATTAGGGTTTACAACTATTTTATTAATAGATAATATGCCATCTTTATCATCAGGTAATTAGATAAATCTTTAAAGTAATGACAAGAAGAAGTAAAAAGTCTGAAATTTAAATGATTGGGACAAAGATGGATATAGTATTACAATTGGCAAAGATGGTGAAGGTTTCATTTTTTTTTAACTATTAAGAAATTGACTTAATGACAATCATAATGGTTTGTCCTGAACCATCAGAAATAGCATTGCACTGGATTAACATTTGATAAAAGCGACTGACACTGCCTTAGATTTGGAAGGCTTGGCGAGTATACAACAGTAAAGTCCATCAAGATACAGATTGCCACTCATTAATCAGTAAAGAATTAAAGATAATTTACCCTGCTAGAAACGTTTTTCATATAAATCCTTTATAAAATGTAATATAGAGCAATGGGGGGTGGGGCTGAAAATTTTACGCACTTTATATGCCCCACCCCCCTCACAACTGCACATTTTTTTCACGCCCCTGAACTATATTAATATTCTAAAGACCCTGTCGCTTTTACATTGCAGATTTATTTCACCAACTATTTCAGAGAAAGAAACAAAAACTATTACGCACCTAACGCATTTACGCTATTTTTTAAAAGAATCTCATTTAGTGCAATCACAAAAATTTTCATTCATGTTCCCCTTGAAAAACAGGATAAACAGATTTTTGGGGTGTGTGGCTGAAAATTTGATAGAATGTTTTGTCATCAGCAACTGGTCTAAGTGCCAGTTCGATAGGTTGGTGGGAAGTGGGTCAATTAGCCATCCAAAGATTTTGCCAGCCAGCCAAGAACAAAATGAAGTTAACATAAAGGATTTTAAAAAAGGAAATATGAATAACACAGTAATTGAAAACTTGATGACAACAAATGACAGATGAAGATCATTTTTTTTTAAAAGTGGCAAAGTCACATTTTTGTTTATAATTGACTTATGATTACTGTTTTCCTTTTATGATTTCTGTTTTCCTTAACTTAATAACATACTGGTTCATCTAACTATGTTTTGAAAAAGGCATAAAGATAAAGAGATAAGTTCTCTATATTCATAATGTTAAATTATGAATGAGAAATAAAAAGTTTTAAAAAAAATTATTTTCTTAAAATATGAAAAAGTGTGACTTAAAATTAACAAACACCATAGGCCTGGGTAGACTAGATATATATATATGTTATAATTTTATGTGTAGACAAGACATATAGGTTATAATATTCTGGGCAGACTAGACATATATGTTATAATTTTCTATTTACTAATTTTAGTACTCAAGTCTAAAATGTCTAAGGTGACAATAAAAGTTGTAAAATAAAAAGGCATAGGCTTATATTTGAGTAAGCTGAATAATACATTTTGTAGGCCAAGGCAAACTTGTACCAGTGCCGCCTTTAGATGTAAGCAGTATATATTTTTTAATTTAAATAAATTGTTAATTAATAGACACTCTTTATACTTATATTAATTTGCTATTATAGGATTTTTGGTTTGTTTCGGTAGCCAACTTATTTTTAGAATCAAGAAAACTAGGTTTATCTTGAAATCAACTATTAAATATAAAAACTCTAATAGCTATTAGTCTATTACAAACTTGTAAAATTAGAATTTGAGATTATTAAATATTAGGATACTTGTAAATTATAAAATTTTAATGACATACCAGTATTTTCATCCTTCAGATTTTTATTTCAAAATTATTAATTTAGTTTCTTTACACTAGTTGAAAAAATAGTAAAAATGGATGACTAACAACATTCATGAATACGGGCAGACATGTTTTGTTCTTGCTAATAGCTCAAAACTTTCAAAAGCCTACACTGTTTGTATCTTATAGGTGTGTAGATTACCTTTGTAAATAAGATCAGATTTAAATAATAAGATTAAATTTCTGTGAAAAATACTAAACAAATCTGCATCTATCTTCTAAATCAAGGTAATCTAGCCTTGGGTGCAAGATGGCATTTCAGGGGTTGCAAGAAAAATTGATTATAAGAACAGCGTAGCCACTGTTTGACTTGTAAGCTATGACAAGAAAAACTGATTATAAGAACAGAGTAGCCACTGTTTGACTTGTAAGCTATGACAAGAAAAACTGATTATAAGAACAGAGTAGCCACTGTTTGACGTGTAAGCTATGACAAGACAAACTGATTTTAAGAACAGAGTAGCCACCGTTTAACTTATATGTTTTTACATATCCATAAATGACGTCACGTGTATAAGGGGGTCACATTTTTGTGACAATGTGTGACAAGGGGGAGGGGGGGGGCTTAAGCAGTGTGATGTCACATGAAAAGCGGCATAGTACAGTCAAGAATTTCACTTAATAACCCTAAATTACAGACATTATTAACATTATTCTTTTATATAAAAATCATAATTATTTTATTTTTAAACTACGATCACTGAGAGAATCAGTCCAGGTATGGAAGGTCTGAAAAATAGCCTCTGATCAAGTTACAGAATGCCAAGAAGGAGGAGAATCTGGGTGAAGTTACAATGATAGTCCTGAGAATTTATGTCTAAATGTGGAGTCACAGGAGTCATAGAAATAGGACTACCCAGTGAAGATGGAACTAAAAAAATGGATGACTGGTTGGGGGGGGGGGGGGTGATCTTAGTAAATTCTCTAGGGCAGGGATTCTTAACCTTTTGCAGTCTTGCAGGGCCACTCTGTTTTAACCCCCCCCTCCCCCCAAACCACCATATAAATTATATAGCAATAAAATTAAAAATATGAAAATAGTTAAGTTATCATAGTTTTATTTCTTTAATTAAATTTGTACACATTTACTGCTGGTAATCACAATGCATAAAAAAATTGAAATGCTTTGAAAAAAGCAGCAAAAACTAGCAATGAGAGCAAATGCGAATGTCTGGTCTTCCCCACCTCAGGGATGGGGAGGTACTTTTACCTCTGGTTAAGAACCACTGTTCTGGTGAAATATTTCTGACACAGGTGCAGTAATTCAATATCCATGGGAGGTGAATTTCTTAAGGATTTGTAAAGGAAAGTAGTGGACACAGGGAATTTTTTAGGGGGGGGGATATGCAGAGATTTGTGATGGGGGGGTTTCTAACTTTTTGTGACGATTCATTTATGGATGGCCCCTAAGGGGTTTATATATTCTTTTATATTTCTTCATTAACATTTTATTTTATCTAATATTACTAATAAAGTCAGAAGTTTATTTAATAAGATCGTCAGCCCTCTTTGTATTTCAATTTTAAAAGTCAAAGTTACTCTTGTAGTAGAAAGGGGTTTGAGACTTGGTCAAACAATGCATAATAATATTATATGTGGCTTAATCAAACAATTTGTGACTTAATCAAACAATTCATCAGAGAAGTGCAGAAAATGGAGAAGGTGGGAAAACTGCGTCTAAAGCAGGGGACATTTTTTCTAATAAAAACCCTTTTGTACTGCAAATTTTTTTCATCTATGCCATTTCCTTTTGCTCTGCATTACTCTTAAAAGGATGGGACAATAAGTGCAGTGGGGACAACATTTATTCATTGTGTAAAGTTGATGAAAAAGAATTAAATAAAGAAACATTTTAATAAGTGTTTCCCACAAACGGAATTAAGTTATTTTCTTGAAAAGGCCCTACTTTTAGAAAATGGCCTCAGAAGGAGTGGCTGCTCCCTTGCTAGCTATGCTACCATTGAAAGTGATTACTATACATTAATAAGACATGAACAAATTGTGTCAATAGAACAATATGAGTTAGCTTTAATAATAATTGTACATTATACAGAATTAAACGTTTCGGCACATGCCTTCATCAGTACAAACAAACACAACACATTTAAATAAGTATAAATTAAATTTACATAATGTCAATATATATATCCTACCTAAAACAGAAAAAATCACATTTAAATAAGTATAAATTAAATTTACATAATGTCAATATATATATCCTACCTAAAACAGAAAAAATATAGGAGAGGGCGCTTAAACCTGACAAAAACAAAGTAAAGAGATGTAGAAAGGAAGTCACACATTAGCAGAATAGATCTACTAATAACTACTTACTAAAATAATTCTAATACATAAAAAAAAAATAGGCCAAATGCCCTACTGCAAAGGTACTTTTTGGTCTGATCTAAGGGCAAGATTTTGGCTTTGGTCATGACCCACTGAAATTTTGGATTTCCTTTTGAGGCGTATTAGATTTACTATATAATGATTTCTTGGCTTAAACTATTTCAGATTATTACATAGAGTAAAAAGCATAAATGCAACAATGACATAGGCTGTAGTAGTTGTGTTGACAGTGTTGTGAAGACATTAAAAAAATGTGAACTCGGGCAGTGGGTCATGACCAAAGCCAAAATCTTGCCCTTAGATCAGACCAAAAAGTTTGAGTACCTTTGCAGTAGGGCATTTGGCCTATTTTTTTTTTATGTATTAGAATTATTTTAGTAAGTAGTTATTAGTAGATCTATTCTGCTAATGTGTGCCACTTGAATTTCTGTATAAGATTCTCTTCCTTTTGTTTATTCTTGGATTGTTACTAGAATTAACTTTCATTTTTTTAAATATTAATAAGCTGATGGAATGTTGTAAATTAATATTTCATTGGGTGCTATTTATAATATTTAAAACGATATTTAAAAAGAGGCTAAATTTTGTAGCACAAATGTTATAGTTCAGAGAAGGGAGCGACCACAGGTCATTGATACTTCTTATTCTTGCCGCATATCTAGAGGGATACAATTAAATTGCTACCTTCCCCGGGAAATGGTAGAACTACAATAAAATGTATTATATGAAACTGTAAGTTAGATCTAGGTTTTCATTATTTTTAAAGCACTTTGTATTTTTTTCTTAATTTTTACACTTCAGTCACCATAGTGTGCAACTGTAGCACATGTGCTTTAGTTGAGGGAAGGGAGCGACCCCAGGTCTTTGACAATTCTGACGCATATTTAGGGGGATACTACAATAAAGTTGCTACATGTGCCACAAAATTAATGTATTGGCTGAAATTATATAACTTTTAATATTTTGGTCTTATTTTTGTTTCTCTCTGTAACTAACAGTGTAAGTAGCTAAAACAGCACATTCTCTCTCTTTCCCCTTCCCATTTTTGCAGACATTAAAAAATTTTACACTGCCGCCATCTTGATAGCCATGAAAAATAAGTGGCACGCCAAACCAACATTTACCAACCAATTCATTCAGTGCCACTTCTGACTCCCCTTACTCTTGACTCCTCATCATTCTACTTCTGTAGAAGTATAAAGTATAATACTATAATAATAATAATACTAAATACTAATTTATTAATAAATAGTACTCGTATTACTAATAGTCTGAGTCTGACACATAAACAATACTGCTGTATGCCGTCCACAGCTTGACATGTAAATAGTTATGGGGTGGGCAGGGCAAATATTTTTTTTTTCTGTTTTTATACAGCTGTTTTTAATTAAATAAATAATAAATGTATGTAAGTATGTAATTTTTTTAATGACATGATTATATTTGCTAATATTTTTATGTGAAGTGCAGTGAGCCCAGCCCTAGGCTTGGGTACCTCGCTATTTAAGACCACTGTACTGTAATAATATAATTAAAAGTAAATTATACTATTCAGTTCAGTTCAGAAGTTCAGACTATTCTTCTTAATCTTACTGTACTGGCCGTAATATTCTAATTCTATGAATAAGTCAAAGTGACTATGACTATTAAAAATATTATTTTGTCTTCTGTTTTTATACAGCTTTTTTAAATTAAATAAATAATAAATGTATGTGAGTATGTAATTTTTTTAATGTCATGGTTAAAGTTAAATGTTTCCTAATATTTTTATGTGAAGTGCGGTGAGCCCAGCCCTAGGCTGGGGTACCTCGCTATTTAAGACCACTGTACTGTAATAATAGAATTAAAAGTAAATTATACTATGACTATTCAGTTCAGATATTCTTCTTATTTAATATCTTAAAATCATAATCTTACTGTACTGGCCGTAATATTCTAATTTAATTCTTATGACATGAATTAGTCAACAAAGCGACTATGACTATGAGTACTATGACTATTAAAAATATTATATCCTATCTATACTATTACTAAACTATAGGCCTACTAATTACTCATAAATAATAGGCCTAAATCATAAAAATAATAAATTTAGTGAATAAAATAAATTCAATCCGTCCGTCGTCGGCGTTTTGGTTTATTCCGGGTTTATTCTTAATTATAAATTTCATAATTAGAATCCCCACAGTACGTCCTATATACTATATACCTATACTAAATTCAATGGTATAATATACTTATATCATACTTTATTCCCTTAGTTGTCTATTGGCGAATTTAAAACGGGATTCTTTACTAAAGCTGATCTTGCATTTTTGACTTTCTAAACTTTCTTAATCAGCGGGTCTTTACACTTATGCTGAAGTAGGTAAACAAATTTTTATATTAACCTAAATATTGAAGAGCACTAAACGGTGTAGTTTTACTAACTTCAATTCCAAATTCTGTTATTTATACGCATGTGCACTTGAATGTCTACTTCCGCCGTAGAGAACGGTAGGTGAACTTGACAGACAAAATGACCTACCAACCTGGAAGATATGCGAAGGAATATAATCCTAAAATCCATGGGCCATATCACCCGGGACGTTTCTACGGAAAACGTAAGTGTTTTAACCTTATGACTTTAAAATCTAAGTGTAAAAAACCTTATGTTCGTTACATTTTTTTTTAAATTTTAACATAGTAAATCATAGTTACATGGCATTCATAGTGTCACATAAGTCTAAGTCAGTAAACTCACATAGTCATAGTCATGTCATACTCATACTGGGTATACCGTCATACTGATACTTACTCAACTGTCATTGTGATTGCGATGATTGAACTGATTGTCATTGAAGTCTCATTCTCTGAATTAGGGGATGACTCCAGGTGTTTCTCTACCATTGTTTCATTGTATTGTATATTTTTGTACTTTAACTGCTTGGGCTTGGTGGATTCCAACTCCATAGTTGGCCTGTGTTTAGACTTAGTAACTTTATTCTTAGCCACTATAAATTCTTAATTAAGTTAGGGGTACCCGGTACGTACTATCAGTAAAAAAATTTTTTTTTGTTAAAAATTAAATATTAGTAATATTACACAGTTAGTATAGAAAAAAAAAAGTTTGCTCTATTGTGACTTGTGAGTCTAAGAATAAGATAAGAAGAGCAACCCTTTTTTCAAGTGTGAGTTTGTTTGGTATTTTTACTATAGCATGGACATGGACTGTAACCTCTTCTCTACATTTTGTAACCCAGGGCAATTCTACTGATCAGCAATTAACTCTTGTTTAAATGATAATTTATAAAACTTTTATTTTTTATTATTATTATGATTAATGCTAGGTATTAAAAGTTATAATATTAACTTGGAAATGTTGGTCAAGATGTCCACTACTTTACTGTAAACATGTGGATCATTTTCACAAATTTAGGACAAAATTGTCCTTTCATGACCCATCACCATGTGTCCAAACTTAAGCTTAAACTGCAGCAAGTAATAATTTATTTCAGTATCCTAGTAGGCTTATGATTAAGGGCCATCTTTAATTTGAATGCTGTTTTAGCCACACAATAATACTCACCCTTTCAAAGTTTAACAAATTAGACATCTTTTATCACACTCTGTCCCAAATTCATTGCGTAACATCATTAATGGATGGCCTGCAAACAAATTATTACTGGTAGAGACTTAGTTGCAATCTACTTTTTTTTTTTTAATACAGGAGCACTATTTTATAAATTTATTACATATTATTAACTAATGTGGCTGAAAATGAAAAGCCAAGCCAAAGGCTTTAAACAATTTTCTGGAATTATTTGCATTTTCATTTCTTCAAATTTTTTTCAGCCGATACTCCCTTGGGTCAAGTTAAACTTGGGGATCTCGGATCTTGGTTTGCAAGACAAAACAAATCACCGTCGGCTCTTTGGGGAGCTCTCCACCGAGGTAAGTAAGGGATATTTTGTAAATGATTGGGATGATTTTATTATTTGTCCCCAAATTGTCATGCTTCATAATAATGCTAATAAGATTGTCATGCGGGTTATTTGTTTTATTTTGTCGCCATAAAAATTGGGCTATCTTATTTTTTAAGCGCAGGCTTTTAAATTGTAAAAATCCATTTTCACAAAGTTTTCCCATCAACTTAAGAAGGTTTTATTTTATATATAAGTGATGAAAAGTTGAATTAAAATTTATAATTTTATTTTCTAAATGAAATTTTAAGAATTCAAAAGTTTTTGCCAGAGCTCTATCCAATATTATGCCAATTACCTGTATTAGTTTGGTCATATATGTAATTTCACTGGGTACCACCAGAGCTCTATTCAATATTATTATTATGCCAATTAGCTTAATTAGATAAAATGTGTAATTTAATTGGGTATCAGTACCTAGTTAAAGAAATGAGATATTCACTTAAATAATTATATTAAAAAGCATGAGTGTAATCTTTTAATTTTAGGATACTGGCGGTGGGCTCTGAAGAATATGCATGTCAAAGTGATTGGATTTGCACCCATTGGTCAAGCCATTATGTGTATGTCTACATACTACTTTTTCCTTCTCTATAGTGAAAGAAGTAAGTACCGGTACTTATTTATATTTCTGTGTTTGGTTAATAGAACTTAGATAGATAATTCAGAGCTGTTTTAAGGATAAATTGAAGCAAGCAAGGTTTGGTTGCTGTGCATTAAGTTGGATATTATAAATTATCCCCTTCCATAAACTGACTATGTCTGCACTGTCCATCTCCAGAATATCACAGACACTGCAAGTATCATTGATGATAGAGTTCAGGAAGTAGTTGTAGACTTGTAAGTCCTAGAGGAGATCATTGTTAAGAATTATCTTTGCTCATTGGACTGCTGTAATGGATTTTGACAAGACCGAGGAAATGGATTTTTTTTTTTAAGACTTAGATTAAAATAAATGTTTCTAATTATGTCTATTGTGGTCTTTGTTTGATTCCACTAAAATTTTCTGTAATATTTTTTGTGTCATTTCTTCCTGTACCCTTGTCAATATTTCTGCCTCGTTTGGCCTGTACACTTAAACTTAAAGGCTGTTGAGAAACCTGAAATTTGATGGTACCGGTACACATTTTTATGTGTGAGGTCTTCAGGCCACAACATAACACAATCATTCTATTTTTTATCACACACTCAGAATTTAACCAAACTGAGGGTGTAAGTAGATATTCAATTGTAGTAACCTAACTGACAAAGCTCAGTGACAGCATTCTTGGTTTAGTCCTTTTTACGTCACCCATGGTTCAATTTAAAAAAAATTTATTTCCTAATTTTCTTTGCAACTCGAGTGTAATGAGGGTAATCGAAAAACGTTAAGCAGCATGGTGGATTTAAAAATCTGCGGTAATGGTTGCATTTGAGATGTAGTAATTTTTAAAGTGAATGTTACACCCGTTTAGTAAAATATAATAATTTGTAAAAATTAAAATACATCAAAAGCATGAATGTTTTAAAATATTTTATTCCAACTCAATCCCTCAGAAAAATTCAATGAAAAAAAAAACAGTAACCCATGAGCAAGGCTATTGTTTTAAAAAATATATTTTTCTAGATTTGAAATTATTTACATTGTACAAGTGTTTTATCCAATATATGTATGGATTATATTTATTTGACAATTTGAACTAATAAAGTTTAAAGTGCCAAAAAGGAGTGTAATAAAGGCTTTGACATTGTTAATTAATCAACATAAAATTTTTCTGATGACCTGGCACTTTAAAAAATATACACATGTAGAAGTAGAGTCGATTTTCAAAGAGATCCGAGGGATTCTTTGGATTTGTATAGATTTAATTTACATACAATTTATTACAATTGATGTTACTGCAGTTGTTTGGTGTGTTTTTTTAGATCTAACACAGAGCTCTGCCTTACATTAACACCTTAAAATTATGAAAACATCCACATTCATACAGCTTTAAAAATCTATTGCTGATAAACATTACATTTAAAATTCACACATCTTTAATCTTACTAAATTTGGTTCAATGTAAACATTTTGGCACTCAAGAACATACAAAAAATTATTATGAATAAGATGTAACACATACACATTAAAATGTATGCACAAAAATAAAGCATACAATGCATAATAATAATAATATAAAATACTTTTCTGAAATTGAAACACATGAGTTAATTGTCAACAACATTATAGGTGAAAATATTCATATATTAATGGTATAATTTTTGCAGAAGCTCTGTTGCACAGCCACCTGAGAAAGTAGAAAAAGAATTCTAGGTGGATAACTGAAACTGATGACATTGTTGTAGTTTTTACTTTTAACATAAGGCATGCAACAAGTTACAGTTATGGGTATGCAAGTTAACAGAGCCAAATTACTTATTACAGAGGTATATCTGTTATGCCTTACCCTCTTTTAAGTACATGCAAGTGAACTCCAGTACGAAAGAAATGCTGTTTAATACAGGTGTACATGTTAAGAACTTTCGGAGAGGGTTTTTTCATTTTGTTGTTACAGCTACAACAGCAAAAGGTTGTTTTTATTATGCCTCTCATAATTCTTGTTTTGGTACGTTGTGACAAGCATTTATTTTAATTATTCCCTGCAAAGTCTAATCCTCATTAAGAGCATAGGCAGTACATGGATGATCTCATTTTAAGTAATTTAAGATAAGTGAGAGATTGAGACCAAAATGGCCACCAAGTACATAAAGGAACTTAATGATGGTTAAAAACTCTTAAAGTAACTAACTAGTAACACTAACCACTGGCAGCCCCTACTAAAAAAACATGGAACACAGTTCATATGTAAATATTGTTTTCCAAGTTACTTTAACACTGATCCGAATCAAAATTCAATTTAAACTTAAAAAGTAGCCGCCAATGCACCAAATTTGCATTCTTACATGCTGTGTCGGTAGAGTACAAGTTATTTGTTTTTGAATTGTGTCACCAAGAGTAGGAATCCAGAATATGCTGCATTCTTAACAAAACAAATCTTGAATACTTCAATAGAGTTCAATGATTTTCCAGATTGACAAATGCAGGCACTTTCACCAAAAATACCTAAATAGTAAATGGTCTAAGCACCCTGAGAATTTTCAAATTGGGTAAAGTACAGAGAGAGTGCATAACATGATTAATGATTAAATACACTGAAGCAAAAGTAGACAAATTAATGAAAACATTAAAATATGGTAAGAGATTACCAGATTTTCATCACTTGGGCTTAAAAGAGTATGAGATTTTTTAAAGTTACAACAATGTGAATGTGTCTCAGTAAAAGATAAGCTGTTTCCCCTCATGTTCAGTTCTGATGACATTATCCGGTAACAACCGTACAATTACATGTCTTAAAAATTATGTTCACAGGTCAGAGATATAAATACTGGTGGAGTGTTAAATATTTACCATATTGACAAACACACTTCTCCACAAAATATGAGATCATTGATTTTGTCAACATTAAAAAAAATCATTTCCTTTTTTTTTTCCACATCATCCCCTCCAAAAATTCAACCTTATCATTCATTCTTGAGGTTGACTTTTAAATTAAAGTCTGCGAACAAAACTAATTTAGTTCAAAGGTGGAAAATGGTAAAATTTGTAAATTCAGAAGAATTAGAAAAATCATTGAGAATACCCTTTGATATTTCTTGGAGCACTGGACTAAATTGCATTTCAAAGAATATCTTTACATTGTATTGTTTTAAAATGAAGAGGACATTTCTGCTTGATAGAGTGCAGTCGCAATATTTTTATATATATGAATATGAGATACATATTTTTTTTATATCTTGCAACCATGTCATAGTCGTATGCAGAATTTTAAAGGAATAAAAATAAGATACACATATATTTGTAGAATGGCTAAGGTCCCATGTATAACAAAGGTCCCATGTATAATACAGGTCCCAGGTATAAAGTAACAAAAGTTGCACTCAAACAATATTTTTTCAATACCGGTACATCAAAATGAAAAACATTGATACATGAGCTGATGGTTTCTCCATAAAAGTTATGTTAAATTTTATAGAGAAGGTATTTATAGTTAGCACTTTGATGCAGTAGAAGAAATAAACCAAAGGTTAAACATGCTCCACAATAAGTCTTTACCAAAGTGGGTCATGAGAATTCAATGTTAATATTCATAAAAGATGTAAATCTATTTTTATCGGTGGGGATTAACCTTGATAACAGTATGTTATTTTTATTTTATAGATATCTATGATTCACGAGTAGAACAAGTTTCAAAATGTGATCCATTTTTTGGGCATATAATTTGTTTACTTTTCAGTGCATCAAATTAATTGGGTACCAGTACCTTTAAATTTTTGGAATTTTTTTTTTTTTTTGCGACCAAAACTTGAATTTCTTGATTCAAACAAGCTTAATTTTCTATAACTTGTGGTTGCGCACATAGATAACTGTTTTATGCCCTTAATTCTATCCAAATTTATAATTAATATGAGAAACTAAAACAAAAGAAGTAGTTCACAGTTAAGTAAACAAAATAGATGATAAAATTTCTTAAGGGTTATTTAGAAATATGTCCCAGAAATAAATTATAGAATGGATTTAAAGTTCAATTAAAATTTATAGCATTCAAACCATTTTATTCAAGAATTACATTATATAAATCATTTAATCTATAAAGATTAAAGAAACAGAATTAAATATGTCATCAATTCCCTCCACACCAATCATCAAATTTGAAATAAGCCGAAGCACTTTCATGAAAAATAGGTAAAAATTAACTAGAAAGCAAAAGATTTCTGAAAAACAAAATAAGTCATAGGCACTAGGTCATGTAAGTTGTGGGCGTTTTACCCCGATTTCAACACAAATGGGTGAAAATAATGATGTTCACATGGTCCCTTTCTAGCACATCAAAGTTTGTACCTGTAATAAAAATTCACTTTCTAGGGAACCATAAAGTATCATCCTAAGAAGTCAATACAGTGATCTGCTGCAAAGGCATGAAATAATTTACGAAGATAGGTCCAGCTCCTAGAATTAATTTAAAAGAATATAGTTCTACCTACCAGAACCAATTTACAACTATAAGTCTAGCTGCTTGAATCAATTTATGAACATGAGTGTAGATACCACAATTTATGAATACCAGTCTCAATGTTACAAGTTCCCAAAAAACTTAAGCCTGCGTCTGATTTCCTGATTTACCTTAGGTGTCACATTCTCCTTTGCACTGCTCTGTGCTATTTGAGGCACCAAATTATTACCATTATCTGAAACCCTTGTCGTCAGGTCTTGCCTTAATGTTAAAGGAGCTTGACTTGTTTTATCAATATCCTTCAATTCATTTTTCCTTATGGAGCTCACTTGCGGCGGCACATTTGTATTTAAGTCACTTCCAGGCAGGGGCTGTTGATCATTTGTCTGAGTAACGCCCCTTTGTTCAACATCTCTCTTTAACCTTAATGAATCATCTGCTGCTGCATGCTCAAAATGTTGCCGGTTTGCATCAGCTTGGTCAAAACCCTTTGCGGCAAGGTTGATCGGATCAAAAGGGTTGACGCCCTCTATATTGCTAGGGAAATTTAGATTGGATGGATTCTCCAGGTCATTTTTGGGCTTTAATGCCATTGCCTCTATGTTCGGAGGATTTTGTCCAAGTATACCCTGCTCCTTCAAACCTAATCCATGTTGCTGACCATTAAGTGACTGCTCATATCCGGCTTCAGCTTGCGGTAAATCTTCCGGTGCCTTTTGTTTTCCCAAATCCCTGGCTTGGTGTAAAGCCAGCCCATTCTGTGAAGTGACTACTGCATTTTTGTCTATGGTTACATTAGCCATTACTAAGCCTCTGTTTTGACCTACATTCACTTGTTCATTGAACTGCAGCTGCCGAAGCTGAGGATTGACATCCTGATGCAGGCTATCAGATCCTTGCCCCGGGTCGGCAGAAACTGGCTGAGGGTTGGCGTGCACTTGCTGAGGTTCGGCGGGTAATAGGTGAGGGTCAGCAGGTACTTGCTGAGGGTTGGCGGGCAGTTCATTATTTTGATGTGATGGACCATTAGCTGTATCTTGGGGCTGTTGCAAGTTTTGCTGAATTTTCTCCTGTGTGAGTGGAAAGATGATAAATCTGGTTGAACTTTATTGCCCTAGATAACATTAAGTAAGAGAAAATAAAAACGTAAACATTCATATATCCTTTTTTTACATATGTCATGAAAATACATTATGTTCTCCCACATTATAACCAAGTGACAACTGTTGAGAAGAAATCTGGAAGCGTTGCCCTAGGGAAATGAGGGTAACAAGTAGAATGGAAAAAAAACATTTATCATTGTACTTAGTCCAGATTTTTGCAACCCAACAAAGCTGACGATTTCATCAACCCAAATTTACAGATTTTTGCGACCCAACAAAGCTGACTAGTTCATGATAGTTCATCAACCTAAGTTCACAGATTTTTGCAACCCAACAAAGCTGACTAGTTCATCAACCAAAGTTCACAGATTTTTGCAACCCAACAAAGCAGACTAGTTGATCAACCCAAGTTCACAGATTTTTGCAACCCAATAAAGCTGACTAGTTCATCAACCAAAGTTCACAGATTTTTGCAACCCAATAAAGCTGACTAGTTCATCAACCAAAGTTCACAGATTTTTGCAACCCAACAAAGCTGACTAGTTCATCAACCAAAGTTCACAGATTTTAGCAAGCAAACAATACACTGGTTTCAGTCCTTTGCTAGATATTGTTCTTTTAACAAGTCAAATCTTTAAACAGATTAAATTGTTAAAACCTTGCAAGGGTACGCGTAAGTAACACTAGACAAATAATTAAAATATTTAAAACCTTGTGACAGTATGTAACACTAGGCAAATAATTAAAATGCTAAATTTGACTCTCTCATATAATTCATAATGCTAATCAACAGACACATTTTTGGGGGTTCAAACTTGATAGATAAAAATGCTAGATTAGCGGAACTTGCCTGCCATATTGCAACTTTCTAGGATATGAAGAAGTTGGTTAAAAGACGGAGTCGTAAGTAAAATAAACCAGGGTTAAAAAGGTTTTAAATTAATTTTAAAAATGGCATGAAAAGATTTCCAAAATGGAAAGTTTACTATATTGTTTAAGTAATTAATCGTAAGTTCTTAACAGATGTTGGGGGGGGGGGGGGGGGGGGAGAATGATCAAATATGCCGACAATGGGTCTTGAGGATGGCTGCACGCTAGCATTTTTTGCTATATGCTGCTTTAGTCCCACTGCATGTATTCCAGAATGTTTAAATTTCTAATTATCGTATTTACGCCTGCTATGGCTTATCAGGAATTTAGTAAAAATTTCATGAAGACCACTCTAAAATATGGTTGCTATATTTTGGCAAAGGTAAACAATTGGAGGTTGGGCATATTTTTGAGTTGGTCTCAAATTCTCAGGTCTGGTTGGCTTGATCCAAACGATTTAGGTCAGGTGTGCATAACTCAAAATGTAAGGCGGGCCATAATACTTCATGAAAACTTGTGCGGGCCGAAAGAAAATAGGACAGGGGAGAAAGCTATTAAGAAAATAATAATAATAAAAAATATTTCGTTACTTCACCGGCCACCAAGTGTTTGCCGTACGTTAAGAAGGTCTGATTTATATTATCAGACTTTTTTAGAAGTTTAAATCTAGTGACTCTGCTCTTTTTCAATATCTATTGTACTTCCTGAAATTTGGCGCTGCATAATACTGGATCCAGATGCCAGCAAATGGGGGATAGGGGGGGGGGGCCTTAACTCTGCTAACGGTACCTTCATGTCCAGCTCATGGTGATTTTTGAACTCTTTCAGGAGCTGCTTTTGTTCTTCTATTAACCTTTCCTGCTCCACCCTGTGCAGTTCTAGCTTGGCAATCAGGTCATCTTGTTTTTTTTCTTTCTCTAGCTCCTAGGACAACACAATGGGGCCATTGAGTGCTTAAACTAGACTAGCCAACAACTCATTATAATATGAGGCTTTAAATGGGGGCCATTGAGTGCTTAAACTAGACTAGCCAACAACTCATTATATGAGGCTTTAAATGGGGCCATTGAGTGGTTAAACTAGACTAGCCAACAACTCATTATATGAGGCTTTAAAAATAAAAACAAGCAGTCAGTCTATTGAGCTAGCAGAAGACAAAGAATGAAGAGAGGGACTTGAAAGAGTGGATATTCTGGTGATGGCCTGTACTTCCAGAGGGATTTGAGAGAGTATATACACTGGTGATGGCCAGTACTTCCCAAGGGATGTTAGAGAGTATATACACTGGTGATGGCCAGTACTTCCCAAGGGATGTTAGAGAGTATATACACTGGTGATGGCCAGTACTTCCCAAGGGATGTTAGAGAGTATATACACTGGTGATGGCCAGTACTTCCCAAGGGATGTTAGAGAGTATATACACTGGTGATGGCCAGTACTTCCCAAGGGATGTTAGAGAGTATATACACTGGTGATGGCCAGTACTTCCTATTAATATGAGGATGAACAAAGACTTCTATATTAAACATTTCATTAATTTTATTTGAGATCAGATACACATTTTCAATAAGAGGTTCAAAAATTTTAGAAATATATAAAACCTTCATTAAAACGTGAAAATAAAGTTATTGTTATTGGTGACATAAGTCTGTGCTTACAAGGGATGCATTATTGGTGACATAATTCTATGCTTACAAGGGATGCATTATTGGGGACATAATTCTATGCTTACAAGGGATACATTATTGGGGACATAATTCTATGCTTAAAAGGGATACATTATTGGGGACATAATTCTATGCTTACAAGGGATACATTATTGGGGACATAATTCTATGCTTAAAAGGGATGCATTATTGGGGACATAATTCTATGCTTACAAGGGATACATTATTGGGGACATAACTCTATGCTTACAAGGGATGCCATTATTGGGGACATAACTCTATGCTTACAAGGGATGCCATTATTGGGGACATAACTCTATGCTTACAAGGGATGCCATTATTGGGGACATAACTCTATGCTTACAAGGGATGCCATTATTGGGGACATAACTCTATGCTTACAAGGGATGCCATTATTGGGGACATAACTCTATGCTTACAAGGGATGCCATTATTTTTCTTTTTACCAAAAGATTTCTGGGATTTTTTTAAAAATTTTTTTTTGTTAGCAAAAAAAAAAAAAAAATTAAGAAAAATATCAAACATAATTTTGAGCTTTGAAAAGTTTTAGGATTTCTATAATAGCACCAATCCATGACTTCAGACCCCAGCATATATAAGATAGCAATAATTCTTCTTACCTTCACCTTATTGGCTATTTCAAGTTCTTCATTGCTGATCTCATTCGCCTTGATCTCCACATTATCTCCCTTCACTTCTTCCTGCAGATGGTTTTCAGCAACCTGAACATTGTGGAGGACGTCTTTAAATTTTTTTTTTTAAAATAACAACAGACAATCACTGTTTTAATTGAAATTTTAAATTTAACATACGATGAAAAGGAGAATGATAAAAACTTACCACAGGCATTATGACAACTTTTTCAGGTGGGTCAGGGTTTGGGGGTTCTTTACGCACATGTGACCCTGGATCAACAGCCCCAGTCTTTATGTCCCGCTTTTCAGCTGAAAAGCAGTCAATTTAAACAGCAATGAATTTAAATAATCAAGGATGTAAGGTTTCATTGACACCGCTTTCACTTCTTGATTGGCTATTCAAATCTGAAAATCTTTTCCCGAATGTACAGTACAATACATGTAAATGTATGCTAATGTTAATGTATCCTCCCTAATGTACAATACATTTAAATGTATACTCCCAAATGTACAATACATGTAAAGGTATCCTCCCAAATGTACAATACATGTAAATGTATTTTAATGTAAATGTATCCTCCCAAATGTACAATACATGTAAATGTATCCTCCCAAATGCACAATACATGTAAATGTTTCCTAATGTAAAAGTATCCTAATGTAAATGTATCCTAATGTAAAAGTATCCTAATGTAAATGTATCCTAATGTAAATACTTGTATTGAACAGATTGTCCTTAAAACTTACTTACTAATCCACAGTGGGTTATTAAAGTTTTATTTATTTAAATTTTTTTTTCAATTTAGATTTAATTATTTCCCTCCGACATTAAGCAAATGAAATGTTGACATTTTACTGTCAAAAAATGAAATGACATTGTACTGTCAAAAAAATGAAATGATGACATCTTACTGTCAAAAAATGAAATGATGACATCTTACAGTCAAAAAATGAAATGATGAAATCATACTGTCAAAAAAATGAAATGACATTGTACTGTCAAAAAATGAAATGATGACATCTTACTGTCAAAAAATGAAATGATGACATCTTACAGTCAAAAAATGAAATGATGAAATCATACTGTCAAAAAAATGAAATGATGAACTCATACTGTCAAAAAAATGAAATGATGACATCTTACTGTAAAAAAATTAAATGATGACATGAAGAGTCGATTTTCAAAACGCGGTCTCCGCCATTTTGGAACAAATGAGATTACTGTACATTCTTGTAGAGCAAACCAGGTTCCTTTAGGACATGTTAAAGTTTATCTACAAAACACATTTTAATACTATATTACTCTATGTCTAAATATGATTTTATTTTCAAAACACGGTGTGAACTTTTTTTTTATCATCAAAATGCTTCATATATTTTCGGACCAATCCGTGTGATTGGCAAGCTATTCTGCGGCATTCTGCGCATGCGCACTAAACATCACGACGCGAAACAACAAAAAACACGGTGCATAACGATGGCGTGGATGAAAGAGTTGTTTGTACTATAAAATCTTGAAAAAGAAAGAAAAAAAGCTCAACATGAGAAAAAGACAAATCATTTTGTCATTCAAGCGGAGGAAAGATCCCCTTGGTTACGTGTAATCACGATAAATGGTTCTGCAAGGTGAGTTACCGGTAACTTTATTAAAAAAAACACTAAATTTCATATTTACATTATTATTAGGGTTATGGTTATTATACATCAGAAGTGTTACGGAAATGAAAATAAAAAGTTGTTTTACAGAGTTAGCTGTGTTATTTTTTACACATTCAATCTTTTACATGCAGATCCAGCCATTACAGAAGAAAAGGTGCTCAAGGACAGAAATATTTGCCCTCTGATTTGAATGTAAATAAGAAGCATCAACTTGTCCTGGAACAAAACCAAACTGCTATTGAAGATGATGCATACTCTGAATCAGATACTTCATTATTTTCTATTGTGTCGATGTTCTAAATTTGAAAAAAACTATTTTTGAATTGAACATTATCTTGTTTACTTTTGTTTAGAATTCAGATTTATAAAAACAAATCATGCAAACTTATAGCACTCTAAACGTTACACTATTACAAGCGACTTCCCAGCATTTATAATACTGTTCTGTTAAAATATATCAATAAAAAACATTAATCATACACAATTATATAATGTATTTGATACAATTTAATTTTATTTTGTTATGTAAGTGGTTTGTAATCTATAAACAATTTGAATTATTTGCTAATGGGAATAATGTTATGCTATCAAAATGGATATACAGCATTTTGTCGCTAAGTTACAGCTGGATACACAGCATTTTGAAACGAAATAAGAAATTCAACCAAGTAAATAAATACATTTTAATTAACCTACATTTAAATTTTCATCGTAATCTAACTTTTATTTTGAATATATACCTTAATTAACATTTACTTTTCTGAACATTTTAGCCATCATTGTGTAGCAGAAAAAGTCGATTATCTCAAAACGCCAAAAATGGAGATACAGCATTTTTAAAATCGACTCTTCACATCTTATAATAAAAAAAATGAAATGATGACATCTTACAGTCAAAATATGAAATTATGACAATCTGACAGTCAAAAAATGAAATGACATCTTACTGTCATAAATGAAATGATGACAATCGTACAACATCTTACTTTCAAAATCCGCTGGTTTCTTTTCTTCATTTAGAAGTTCAAGGGGTGCCAAGGTCGGATTCTTTGGGATGAGTACCGATGGTTCGTCAAGGTGGTTGTGTCCCCTGTCATGAGAGCTGAGGGTGGCAAATGTGCTCACAAGCAGAATGGTGATGCCACAAAAAAGGACCAGCTGAAATTTTATTTTTAAAATAATATTTAATCAAGCTTTTCAAGTAACATTATTTTTTTCTTATTTTCTTTGAGCGGTCACATCATTTCTGGTCATGTGTAACTTAAAAATAAACAGTCTTACTATTCAGTGCATTTTTGTCACTTGACTATGGCCAACAACTAGTTTATTCACCCTAACCCTACCCCCCCCCTACCCCCACCCCCCTCCTCACATCATTTCTGGTCATGTGTAACTTAAAAATAAACAGTCTTACTATTCAGTGCATTTTTGTCACTTGACTATGGCCAACAACTAGTTTATTCACCCTAACCCTACCCCCCCCCCTACCCCCACACCCCTCCTGATACAATGCCTTAAAGAGCTTGTTTTACACTAACTCACCTGCGCTTTACTCTTCTCTTCAGGTTTGCTGCCCATTACTTTGAGGAAAAACAGAGCTGGGAAAATGTAACAGATGAGAGTTCCCATGATGGCTCCGTTGATTCCCAAGATGAACTCAACTGAGCAGTATGAAAGAAGTGGACATGTCATTGTCATTCAAATTTACAATGTCATTCAAAGTTACACAACTCAAAACATTCCAATATTACAGTGGTTCTCAACCTCCATAATGCAGTGACCCTTTAAAAGAGTTCCTCATGTTGTGGCCACCCCCAACCACAAATTATTTTTGTTGATACTTCATAACTATAGACTATATGTGTTTTCCGATGGTCATCAGCGACCCCCAAAGGGGTTGCGACCCACAGGTTGAGAACCACTGCAATATTATAACATACAAAAGATGAAAACTTGGCAGCTGACCCATGAAACCAAATCAATAAATAACTCATTCATTAGACACTGTTGCAAGAATAAATGATCAAAGTAAGTTTTTTTAAGCATTGCAATTTAGGCCAATTATTTTTATTTTTTTATGGAAATGTGGTGGTTCCATGTTTAGCTGAACCAGGCCTCAAATATTTTCATGTACCATCAATTGAATGAAACACTTACCATTGGGTATAACTATGGAAACGGCCATTGAGCCAAGAACAATACTAACTGTTATACTCTTGAAAAGCTTCTCTGGCATGTGTTCATTAGAGCTCAGCATGTCGTCGTGAGGTTTTGATTTCTGTGAGAAGCCAAGAAGACTGGTAAGACAATGAACCACAGACTGATATCTGTAATGACAGCTAATCCATAAAGACACGTATTTAACCTGTAGTGGTATTACCTTAGTTTGTGGGCGCCAAAATTACAGGCAAGTTAAGAGTCTAATTTATGTTAAAGGGAGAGGAAAAACTTTTTAACATTGCTATTCCAAATGATAATTCTTCTCATAAGAAATACTTAATTGAAAAGTTGCATATTACACACTACTTATAAATACCAGACTTCCATTAAAGTTTATGCAGGTTTTACCAATAAGTTTATGACATTAGATGATTAGGAGAACAGCAATGGGAAAGAAAAGACAACAAACTCATCATAATATGGTCATCAAGATTATACCAAGAGTAAAGTAAAAAAAATAATTCAAATCACATTGTTAACAAATAATTTTTTTTAATAACTTTAAAAAAAAAAATGATTCCAGAAAGAAAAATTTATTTTTTATTAACAATGAAATTGATAACCAAGAAATTAGAACTTTAATTAAAATTGAAAATAAATGGAACAATCTTCTATAATCTATTTACGTCAAGCATATCAAAATCGACCTTCTGAAATTCTTCTATCTGATGAAGAAAATAGTTTTAATTAAAATAAGCTAAAAATGAATAATATGAATTATATTCAAATAATATTGGCCTTATGAAAAAAAGTAATTGTGAATTATGCAAAAGTAAATGTTCTTTTTTAATGTCACAGAGAAAAGCTTCTCTAAAATCAACAACGCCAATTAATATTATTGTTTGCTGCAAGGTCTTTTTGTTTATTTCTTTTCTAAAAGTAGTTATACTGGTAGTGAGATAAAAACAAGAGACGGCGGTGTATGTGTGTTGTGACATCACATCTCTAAGCTGACACAGAAAGGGAATTCTTTGGCTAAGCTACTTACAGTTTGGAATAGACGATGACAGGGCGTATGTGACAAAACAAGGACATTAAAAGAAACCCCTGTGTGTTAAAGCATGGAAAGGTAAAGTGTGCTTTATAACAGTAATTAATGATGAATGAAATAAATGGACACATCGTGTCTTGGATCTAAAATAATCTAATTTATTAAGTAAAAGTCATGGATAAAATAAGATTAATAGCCCCCAATGAATTTAGGCAACAGGCTTTAAAAAAGCAAATGGTAAAATGTTACGGTTAGAAAAAAAACAAAAAACTTTAAATTGTGGATACAAGATACAAGACATTTTATTCAAACATTTTTATGATTTCTAAATGTACGAAAACAAGTGGGTTAGGGAAGCCAAGAAGAACATTTTAAAAAAACAACCAATGTAAATAGAAGTTAAATAATGGAATTTTTATAAAAAATCTTTAATCCAATCCTCTTGGTCAGTAAGCAGACAACAATAATATTGTGCCACAGGACCAAAAGAAAGTTACATTCTTAAGAAGGGTCCTTAAAAACGACCATAAAGTATACTAAGACTAAGATTGGAGAGAGTACTTTTTACGAGTACTGACTTCATAAGACGACTAGAGTTGAACTGTATTTTGTTAGAGCAGGTTAAAAAAAAAGGGGGATCAGAAGTTTCACATTTTTAAAAACAATTGTATGCAATAATTGTACACTTTTTACAACCAAGAAAACAATTTTAAGGGACATCAACAAGGATTTGTAATACCATAGTTGAAATGTTGTTTACCGACTTTAGTTTCCTTTTTTACTCTTATAAAATTCAGTAAAACTTATTTTATTTTGTCTATTTTATGTCAGTATTTTTCATTTCAAAACTAGCATCATAATTATTTTATATGAGATCTTGTAAAAATACTAATAATAAATTGCACCAGCATTCAAATTTAAAAGTATCAAAAAAGTAAAACGTATCAATAAACCCATCACTTGGGATATTTGAATATAGTGTGTTGTAAGGTATGGGATAAATTATAGAGTGCAATTAGACATTTACTAAGTTTTAGCAAAGCAAAAAGCCAAATATTCTTATAAAACATATCACACAAAAAAATAGCTACAGCCACAAGGCATAAAATACTTGACAGCCTGTTAGAAACAACTATGGCTATTGATATGAAAGCCATACAAACAACTCACCACTGATTCAACTGTCTAGAATTCAGGGAAAATTTCATATACACAGACCGAAACAATGTTTATAAAAAAATTTTAAAAAACTTCACCAAGGTCAAAACATAAAATCAATATTTAAATGTACATATCTAAAAGAAACATTCAAATAAAGCATTCCTGAAAAAAAAAAAAAATAACTGCCTCACTACGACATGCATGAAATGCATCTATAATTTACTCATATTATTTTGCTTGTCTTCAAATGCTTTGTAAAAAAAAAAAATCAAAGCTTGTCAATATTCTCAATATTCAATGAAATACACACACTATTTTAGTTACTTTACTAAGTTAGAGACAAGGGAATTATTTATATATATATTTTGAACTCAATGAAAAAAGAAAGTTATCCTCTAGCAATGGCAATCACAATCACAATGGTTTTAGTGGGGTGATCCAAGACTCTTGAACTGCATGCTAAGCCAAAGTTGAGACAAGGAATTCTCTAAGTGAGGACTGGTAAAGACTGGTTGTTAATACAGAGAAAGTATTCTATTTTATTCCCATGAGTTGTCATGCTGCAAATTCTTTTACATTAGTTACTAACAAAATAGACAGGTGAGGAAAAGGAGTAATCCTTCATGAAAACATTAAAAAACATGCAGCACCCTTTGCATGGGACTAATCAGCAATTAGATCTTTGCTATACATTTAAAACTTCTGCCACACAGAGTTGGTTTTCTCCTTTTTTTAACATGCAATGAACGTGCATAAAGATGTTTGCCTTCCCTTTGCTTTGTCGAGCAATTTCTGAGAAATTTGGAGAATGAGGGAGAGAAAAAGATAGTGCAGCCCAAATCCCAATCTCACTAGCTTTGCAAAACATCATGATGGTAGGAAGGTGATCTGCCAACTTACCTTAGCAAATAATAAAGTGTAGATGCTGGCTCTGCATGGAAAGATTATGACAGGAAAAGTGACCACCGTGGAAAACACAAAACAAAGTTTGGTCACATCTGTGAAAAATGTAGCAGGGAAAATGTTGATCACATCTCCGGGAATGTCAAAGCTGTGAAAATGGATGTAACCGAGAAATCCAACCTGTGAGGAAATACAAATTGTCTTTATCAGTTACAAGACATTTTTTTTTTTTTGGCTTTAATGGAATCTAACAAAAACTTGTACAATTATACAAGGCTCTGTTAATTAGTACATTGAATATATGGAAACATGGAAAGTCTCAATACTTGTTTTAAGGACATGCTGGGACATTTTAATTTAACATAAGGCCGCTGCAAAAAGAACATTGCTTCAAATAAACATAAGAGAGGTCAATTTTTTTAATTTGTTGTGACAGGCAGCAATAATTTTATTGTGGTTTTTGCGTGCCGAGGGTGTTGAACAACAGCAGGGGATAAGGTGCTGTAGAACACTTTATCAATGAAAGTCAGATTTTTTGGATCATGATTGCATTAAATGAAGATTTAGTTCTGGAGACCAAGGACTTAAATAAAAAAAAAAAATATATTAAAAAAATCTAAATCATTGAAACAGAACCCACTGAAACAGAACCGGCATAGGAAGTGAGTGAACTTAGGGGACAAACCAAAGAAATTTAACTGCAAGAAACAGAGTGGTTCTGCCTTTGTTATTATCCTGGGAAATTTTTATGATGACGTGTCTCTTATATAAATTTCAGAAATGGAAAAAGACTGGGACTGATGACAACAGTATCTACAAGGCTCTTAAACAACCAGACTATTTTCTCACTCATATTGTTTTAACATCGCCAGGAATAAAATAAGTGAAAAACAAAGAGATATTCAAACATACAGAATTACAAGTTGTTGCTTCCTAAACTAAATTTATTTTAGCATGCAACGCCCTGAGAAATATGTTATATTAGTGAAATGCATTAGGATAACTTACCAATAGATAAACAACAGCACAAAGGTTCACGGCACTGCTTGTAACAGATGAAATCAATTTCAGGGACGGTTCTGGTAAGGCATCGTACAGTATAAACAGTTGACTGCCAATAAATATGAGAAACCGATTGGTATTTTTATTAGCTCACTGTTGTTTTTTGATAACTCTGCCCATTATAACATGTATAGAGTTTAACGTAATGTATTCACATTTATATGGATAATTTTTTAAAGTTTGCGTCTTCTCAATATCCCAAAATTTGGTTAAAAGTATTATTGAATGCATTTGCTTATAAAAAACCTTAGCCTAAACAGTGATCAATATTTCAGGACAAAAAAACAAAGTGTGGAGAAATTACTTACGTTTGGCAGCCAAAGGAAAATGAAAAGATTGGTAAACAACGGAACAATCCTTCGGTTCTCCAAAAATTAACATGTGAAAACCAGTCACCTTTTAAAAGGCTAGGAATTGAAAGCCACAAGACCTGGGAAGTATTTACAGATTAAAAAGTCTCAGATTCTCTCATGAATTAGATAAAAACTTAATAAAGTCTTTTTTAGGTTTTTAATAGATATTGTGAGATTAGGATCCCATTACACTTTAATTTTTGTGACATTCAATTTCAATAAAAGTTATCTCAAAAATTTCTAATTGTAATAGTGACAAATTTTAATTAAAAGATGTACATTTAAATGTCAATCATGAGAAGCACGCATTCAATCAGCAAAGAAAGAACAATTACAACAAATAATATTTATAAACAGATGTGATTAGTGTTAGCTATGAAATGATCTTCAATTTAGTTGTGACTTTTCATTTTGACAAACACAAACACGTCTTCGTGCAGTGGCAAAGTTTGATGACAGCATTTGCACTGGGGCAAGCCGTGGTCATGCAAGTGTCTCTTGTTATATTATTCTTAAAATACATTATATAAATGTTAGTCACGCCTGAGTCACACCTTAAAGCAGGCCTGCACAAAATGTGGCCCACCAGCATCCACTTTGTGGCCCTCAAAGTAACGAAATATTCTTTATTCTTATTATTTTCTAAATAGCTTTCCTCCCTGTCCTATTTTCTTTTGGCCGGCACAAGTCCTGTCCTATTTTCTTTTGGCCCACCTTACATTTGGCGTTGTGCAGGCCTGCCTTAAAGTATTGGGAAAAACAAAGACATTAACAAAGCTCACATGTACTCACACACAGGGGACACAAGTACATAAAACACATGTACTCTCAGGGGACGCAAGTATCTCAGTCGCCAGTACTTACGTAAATAACATAGACAGAGTAGAACATGATGCACACAGTGCTGGCTTTGCTGACAGCCCTCAAGTCCTTCAGAAGAGCCATAGGAAGTCCAACGGTCAAAGTAAGGAAAACAATGAGAAAAGTCCTCATCCCAGGCGCATACTATTCTTGGAAGACAGCATTAAGATTTTTGTCTTGAGTTTTGAAATCCTAAATGTTCAGCATTTGACATGGTTATTTACTTTCATATTTCAGTACACTGCTGTATTGCTTTATTTTTGAACACATTTCATACTGCTCCACGATGTATCAAAGTATGGTAGAAATTGATTATCTCTATTCCCTCCTTTTAAAAAAAAAGTTGCAGAAACAATTCTGAATGTTCAAGTAAAAATAAGTGGGTGAATGTAAATTTATAAAAAAATTAAAAACCTCCAGATCTGGGTTAATTATGATAATTCTGGCACTTGAGAAAACAATGATCTTATAAATGAGAGCTCTGGTTCTGAATTATGTGCAAGCTGGTTTACATTGCCTAGAGAATTTTTACATCAAATATTCACTCAGCACTGAGTTATTGACATTTTTTTTTTAATAATAAAGAGAAAAACATCAAAATTAGTGTCCTTGAATCAACAACAAAAAAATCACTTTTGTTTTGTTTGTTACTCTCAACAAGAGTCAACTAGTTTAAAAGTCAACTAGTTTAATAGTCAATTATTTTAAAAGTCACCTATTTTAAAAGTCAACAATTTTTCAAGTCAAATATTTGAAGATTCAACTTACACCAAATCCAAAAATCTTTGAGATTATTGCAGGTCCAAGATCTCCAATCACCACCATTTGAGCAATCAGTGTTCCCAACTGCATTCCAATCATTCTGTAATAACATGTCACATGACAATATCAACCCCTAACATGGATGTTACAATTTTTAAAACAAACTTATTTATTATTTTAGGACATGAGGATGATAAAATAATACCTTTTTGTTTACAAGGGCAAAACTAAATGCATACAACCACATGACTTTCGATCCATGTAGATTCTTCTCTCTCATTAGAGGAATTAAAATTGAATTAACTATTTTAAAACTCTAACATTTTTAAAGGTTGCAGGTGATGTTAAATCAATATTTTCAACTTAGGCTCAAGAACTGGTACTCATTTTATTCAATGGTTTTGTCCCTTTTCACTGAAAGGTTGAAGCCCCAAGATCAGCGGCGTAGGGAGGGGGGCTTCGGAGGGGGGCATCGGAGGGGGTGGTCCGTCTCGGTGGCATTTTCTTCTTTTTTGGAGGAACCACATGTTCTGCCAACTACAGAGTTTCTATGTGGAACTGGGCCCGTCAGTATCCCTAGCCACGCCACTGCCCTAGATTTAGTTGTACAATTTAATGTGAATGATTCAATTCATTAACTTTGAGGTTTGACAGAGGAAATATTAGAAATAACTCACCCCACTTCAGTGATGAATTTCCCTGGCGCACCATGAGTGTGATAAGCTGAGAATGGAAACAATGGGTGTGATAAGCTGAGAATTGAAACAGTAAAAAAAAAGAGTAAGTTTTGGAATCATGATTCTGATATGGAGATTTCTTATAAAATGGCAATGTTTGCCTGAAAAAGACAAATAAACATAGATGAATTTTGGGCTTAAATAATGAGACTTACCTAGAAATTCATAAGATCTACGTCTAGATGCCACACCTGCTTTTAAGAGGAGTTTGCATGACACAAGGGTCAACCAGGTACAGAAGAAAAGTACCAGCATTCCCAACAAGATTCCACACTAGAAAACATACGTGTAGGAAAAATTATTTGGGAAACAACAAAATATAATAAGATAAGATAAGATTCTTTTATTGATCCAAACAAATAGAAATGTTTTTTAATTAGATTGCACATATACATTTTGAGCACATAAATAAAACAATTTGAACACAAGACATCTACATTAAATTATTTCACTGGTGAAAAAAAACAGAAATTCAGTGAACTCTCTTAGTCATATCAAGGTCTTAATAATGATTAATTATTCAAACAGATCATTATAAAATGGATCAGCTAATCTGATTTGAGAATAAAAATATTACAAAAACGCATTCAGGAATACAACATTTAAAATAAGGATTGAAATATTTACTTGTTGGAAACAGAATGGCATGGCAAGTACAGCCACTCCAATGATGCTGTTGCCAAGGTTGATGATGTAGGGCCAGTTGTTATGCATACCCATGGTGGGGTCGCCCAACTCAAGAGGGGTTTCTGGCTCAATTGTTTCTTTTATTCAGCCAGCCAAAAAGAGAAGCTGTGAAGATAAACACAATAGTGCCACACGGTAACAAAACCTTGTAGAGTGAACAACCCACATGGCTGGCTGAAAAACCGCCCCCCCCCCCGACAAACTTAAATGACGCTTGCAAGTCAGTGAAATAAATTAAGGTCGGTTGCCTAACATAGCTTCAAATAGAAATTTAAGTTTTCCAACTCCATTGGAAAATATTGAAAACTCAGATTAAACAAAAAAACTGTTTTAAACGTCATAAAATCAGAAAAATGCTGTGTTTGAGTTTGAGGGACTATTTGTTTATTCTTTAAACCTTTTCCCTCTCCTTGCTCAAATTTCCAGCATTTGAAACATTGAATGTATTTGAAATATTTTAAACTTATGTATGCTTTATTTCTAATGCCGGACCATGCTCAGGAATGAATTTAAAGTTATCTTATTACGGTAATCTCACCAGATAACTTCTTTATCTTTAGCTGTGCCATCGCAAGTTAAGAAACAATGATTTTGAAAAACTATATCTATTTAAAATTTAATAGTAAGGTAGAGAATAATCTGATTAAACAAGTGTTTGACTTCTCAGTATATTGTTTTACTAAAAGTACTCTTAGATAACCCTTACCATTCAATCGATTCATCAAATTTATCATCAACATCATCCACCACACATCAAACAAAACTATAGTAAATAAGAGAAATATATCAATAATTAATTAGTACAAAATTTTCAAAAAATGGCTTAAATACTAAATAATCTATTGCATTAATTATATTTTTACAAAGTTTTGTTAAGAAGTTTGCAAAATTCATTTTTTTTAAAACAAATGACTTAAATATACATAAGAAATGTAAAAGATAATTCATTCATTATACTATTAAATCCATTTGACAATAAAAGTTGATTTATCATTGAGCTTAGCATCTTTGCCTTTAGTTGCTTTAGTCCGACTCATAATAGTTACAGATAAACACAGTAAAACTCTGAAAGAGGTTCCCAAAGCGTAGACTGTACCAAGCTTTTAAATTATTTATTAGCAGTCCTTGTGGCCAGTTAAGAATAATTATGCAGCCCTGATAATTCTGGATAGCACTAAACAGACTTATTATTTTGCCCTGTATGAGGCTCTCTCGTGTAAGGTTGATATTGTAAAAAAAAAAAAAGCTTCTAAGGCTAAATAATAATAAAATTCTTTGCTGCATTGTCAGAAATCAATTTCTAATTCCCCTTACTCCCAAGGCTTCAAGGGACCATCCATATATTTCCAACACACTGAGGGTGAGGGGCACGATGCCTAATATGAATGTCATTATTATACAACCATCTGCCAAAGATTGTCAATAATATATTAAGTTGGAAATCCATTAGAAAAAAAGAAGAAACACTAGAGGTATATCATTATAAATCCTTTTTTTTTAAACTTACCTTGTTCCTGACACACAAATTTCTGACTCTGTTACAGATTACATCACACAAAAAGCCAACACAAAAAGCACACAAACCTCTGACCTAGAAATTCCAGTTAATACTGAGTTAGCACTAATAACACTGAATCTGACTTAACTGTATATTTTTTTTATACCTTACTTTAACGATATGTATATTGCTTTTGGCCTTTTGATATGAGACTGGAAAAAAGTTTTAAAAATCTGGCTATATTCATAGATGGCTGAATGGACAATAAACAAACATAAATATTTTTAATACTAATAATACAAATAGTCAATAGTACATTTTTGTATTAAAGATTCTGTTAAAACCATAAAAATACATGACAAGTTGTAAAATAAGAAATTATACTTGTTCTAGTTACAATTGGTTGAGTGTTTTAATGTAGTTTGATCAAGTAAATTTGGATTTTTAAGGCGCTTAATTTATTGCACTAAAATACATGATTACCATTTACTTTACATGATCTAGTTAGTATGTAGACGTAGCACACAACAGTACAACAGTTTCACAGTTAACACTAACTAACAGGTAGCACACAACAGTACAACAATTTCACAGTTAACGCACAGAATTTGCCAAACAAACACAGAACTAGCCACAATCACAATGTGTTGTGTAAGTTACTATTAAATATAAAACAACTAAAAACCTCAAAATCACTGTACTCAGGTCATGTTTAAGTCAATAGGTGTGCAGGCTACTACTACTGAACTGTGTTTGCGTGGAACGTCGACAAAATAACTCTACTATCAGCTCCGTCGTGCAGCCGAGTGAAGCCGCAACTGCAACTTTAAATATTTTAATCTCAGTTAAGTAATGTAAATTGGCAAATTGTTTAATGTTTGTTAATTACATCTTCAAAACAAATCAACAACTATGTAGAAGCCTTGGGAACTTTGCCTTCAATATTATGTCTCCTTTTGTCTTTTCAGTTAGTAAATAGTGGGGCAATACTTCTTACCAAGATCTGAGTTTAATAAATATCTGTCCGAGATAAGAAGGAAGTATAATATTTAAATTCTAGCCTTATAGTTCTTAGACCAACAAAACAACATCTAAATGAACTTGTTTTGTAGTAAATTTTGAGTGAAAAGTCAAATCAAACGAACTTTTCACTTGAAATAACTTAAAAATCAATAGCATAATATTTGTTCAAGTTCTGTTATGGTTATCTTCTTCTTCTTCTATATCTTAAGGGCCCACGATCAATTTATTGATCATTTTGGCTCCTAAGCATGTAGATGGGATTTGCAATGTTTCTGTTACTGGTGGTGATGAGGAAATTATGCACTAGGGGTTTGAAGGCTTGAGGCAATAGACACAAATGTGTCTAGTGTTGTCGCCTCAACTGTTCCTTTTGAAAGATGGTTCCAGTCCCTGATTGTCTTGGGCAGGAATGAGCAGCTCCTATACTGGCTTCTTGCTGGTATGAGCCTGAATTGCCTGTCATGGCCTCGTCGCTGTCTATGGGGGAGAGGGACGAGTTTCTGTTATGGTAGGGTACGTTACTGCATCCATGTACTGGCATATGTGCAACGGTTGGGGAAGCGATGCTGCTATCCTAACGGCTCCTAGGAGATGCCAGGGCAGCCTTGAAGCTCTCGATTGATGTCGGGTACACAGCGGCATTTTCCAGGTAACTAATATTATAACCTGAGAGAAAACTATGGTGTTACAACCTCAGGCTCTTGCCCTCTCCTTAGTGCAGATGGCTCTACACTTATTACAGACACGGAGAAAATCTTGGAAAGATGGGCGGAACACTTTGATTATGTGCTGAATACGCCGTCCATCATGAATGATTAGGCCATTGAAAGACTGCCCCAGGTCCCGAGAACAAGTCAATGGACGCTGTCCCAACTTTGGTCGAGATACAGACAGCTATCCGCCAAGTGTCCAGTGACAAAGCACCTGCCTCCGACATGATACCCGCCGTGCTATCCGCCAAGTGTCCAGTGACAAAGCACCTGCCTCCGACATGATACCCGCCGTAATACAAAGAGGGTGGATCAGCGCTGACGGATAAGCTACTGACGCCTGCAACAACTTTGGCCTCACAATCAACACAAAGAAGACTGAAGTGATGTATCAGCCAGCTCCCAGTAAGCCCTACGTTGAACCCAACATCATCATCAGCGGACAGCGTCTCAACCCGGTGGATAAATTTACTTACTTGGGCAGAACCCTCTCCATATCTGTCGTCATGGATGACCAAATGAATGCTAGACTCGCAAAAGCTAGTGCAATATTTGGTAGACTCCGCAGCCCTGTTTGGGACAGGAGAGATATCAGACGAGAAACGAAGGTCAATGTCTATATAAGTGTAGCAGTCCTATTGACCTTGCTCTACGGATGTGAAACGTGGACAGTCTACCAGCGTCACGCCAAGAAACTAAACCACTTTCACACAACATGCCCCAGGAAACTCCTCGGCATCAGGTGGCAAGACAAAGTGCCTGACACGGAGGTCCTCGCTAGAGCAAACCTACCTAGCATCTTCCCCACCCTGATGCAGTCTCAGCTCCGTTGGATGGGACTCGTTGCCTGTATGGCTCCCTAAACAGATATTCTTTGAAGAACTCACGATAGGCAAGCGCTCCCCAGGAGGTCAAAAAAGCGTTATGAAAGTAGTGAAAGCGGCACAAAAGGCATTCAGCATCAATCCTATTGAATGGGTAGAGACAGCCCAGGACAGAGCCAGGTGGTTATCAACTGTCAAGAAGGGGGCTCAATCTTATGAAGCCAGTAGGATAGGCACAGCTGAGACACGCAGGCTGGCTCGAAAGAGCAACCTTGCATCACTGACTACAGCAACTATCCTCTGCCCGCGGTGCCACAGATTATTCCGAGCACGGATCGTACTGGCAAGCCACCTACTAACTCACCGTGCCCCTCCCCCCCCCCCCAACAGGATGATTAGATCGTCCTAGTCGATGTTGATTGACGAGTCCACAGTGGCATTGTCCAGGTGGTTCCAAGCGATTATTGTGCGTGGGATGAATGATTGTTTATATTGGACTGTGTTACACCGAGGCGCTTCACCGAGTGAANAAAAAAAAAAAAAAAAATTTGTTTTTTTTCGCAACAAAAAAAAGGGGGGGGGGGGGGGGGGGGGGGGGGGGGGGCGGGGGGCGGGGGGGGGGGCTTTTTACTGTGCGCAAAGTTCATGAACCCTTTCTACAGTTACGCTTTTGTCTTGATGGTCGTAAATCGTATGCGCATTTCCCGAGCATTGACGAAATGTTCTTGCCGGCTTGGCTTTATCGTCTGCACAAACTTATTATTCGACGACAGGGGCGTTGAAACGCCTCCTGTTCTGGACAGAATGTCATCTACGGTTGAATCAGCCATTTACAATGACTTGGGTTTAGACTTTTTCTATATTTAACCTACTGGTTTCAGAGTCTAGTTTTCACTCTTTCATTTATCTGGCCAGTCAGGCATGGTCTTCTCCACTTTTCGTGTCAATCCACTGTTTATCACAAACATTTTTCTGTACCGGACTTGTTGTTAGCTGCCATGGCTGTCTCGGACTCTATGATTCCTTTATTAAGAAATCTATAATGAGTGTGACGTTATGCATCTTGAATTTTAGTCTACATTTTCATTTCAGCAGATTATGATCCCTGATAAACCATCGCATCTTTTTTAAGCACTTACGTGACGTCATTATCTAATGTCTATGTTTCTGTATCTATTGTCTTGTGTGGGAACATCATCTCCTCCTACGACCGAATTCTTATTAACACAAAACTCAGTCAACAATTTGCCATTTTCTTCAAGACACTACGTCCATCTTTTCCCCATGATTTGCTGCCAGACTATGAGAACCCTTTTAGCAGTTGGAAATATGATTATTGCTACCCCCTCTCTCTCATTCTCTCTCTTTCTCTCTCTCTCTCTCTCTCTCACCCTCTCTCTCTCTCACACACACACACACACACACACATACATACACACGCATTTTCAAGACTAAAAAATAATGTCCAAAAATTTAGCTCGAACATTTGATAATAGAATAAGACGACGTCAGTCGATTAACTGTCATCAGCGTCTGACATGACATTGACATTACCGGATAGCAAAAAAAATGTGGAAAAAAAAATATGACGTCTCTCCGAATGTCATACACTAGCGGCTGCAAATGAATGTGCGGCACCAGTAATTATTTAAAAAGTTGAAGTTTTGTAAAAATGAAACAAATTGAAGATCATTAGTGGCGTCCCGAGGGTTGGTGTCAACCGGAGGGGTGAACTCATTGCGTCTCCCCCCTCCAAGTCTGCTTTTCTCCGGTGGCAAGTCGGTAGCACCCTGCACTGGTGTCACCACTCAAGTGACACCCTGTTCTGTCTGGTGACACCCTGTAATGGTCGCAGCGTCATCTGCTGGCAAATTGCTCTTGTGACAACCTGATTAGAAGGCGCCCTTCAATTTGGTTTCACCCCCCCCCCCCTTTAGGGTGTCACCTCATGCGGTCCGCACCATGCAAATCCCCCCACCCCCACCCCGGACGAGATGCTGTTGAATTTAATCTTATCAAATTATGCAACTCTTGTAATTAGCAAATAAAAAAAACTCACACATTTTTTTTTAATAAATATTTATTTGCATTAAACTATCATACCAAACCAATATCAACTCGATTTTGAGGGTATCAGTGATAGGAGCGATTGAATCTGTAATAGTGAAGCTTATTGAACACTATAAACTAAACTTCAATCTTATCAAAGTTGTCACTGTCTTATTTGCTCAACATTGAGCAGGTTAAATAAAGACTAGAAGGGGCGTCGTCCTTAGCGGTGTTCACTCACACAGCGCGTCAAGTTAGCAACATGAGAACTCTTGAGAGCAGTCGGGGGGGNCCTTCGTTATTACCAACAATGCTCATCACTTATGACAAACAACATCGCACTACAACAGCCTTCGTTATTACCAACAATGCTCATCACTTATGACAAACAACATCGCACTACAACAGCCTTCGTTATTACCAACAATGCTCATCACTTATGACAAACAACATCGCACTACAACAGCCTTCGTTATTACCAACAATGCTCATCACTTATGACAAACAACATCGCACTACAACAGCCTTCGTTATTACCAACAATGCTCATCACTTATGACAAACAACATCGCACTACAACAGCCTTCGTTATTACCAACAATGCTCATCACTTATGACAAACAACATCGCACTACAACAGCCTTCGTTATTACCAACAATGCTCATCACTTATGACAAACAACATCACACTACAACAGCCTTCGTTATTACCAACAATGCTCATCACTTATGACAAACAACATCGCACTACAACAGCCTTCGTTATTACCAACAATGCTCATCACTTATGACAAACAACATCGCACTACAACAGCCTTCGTTATTACCAACAATGCTCATCACTTATGACAAACAACATCGCACTACAACAGCCTTCGTTATTACCAACAATGCTCATCACTTATGACAAACAACATCGCACTACAACAGCCTTCGTTATTACCAACAATGCTCATCACTTATGACAAACAACATCACACTACAACAGCCTTCGTTATTACCAACAATGCTCATCACTTATGACAAACAACATCGCACTACAACAGCCTTCGTTATTACCAACAATGCTCATCACTTATGACAAACAACATCGCACTACAACACTTAGGATATAGACTATAGTAGAGTGATATAGTGTCTTTATTTAAGACGCGTTACTTTGAAATGAGAACACATGTTCCTCTCAACTGTAGTAGTGCAGTTGTTGCAAATACAATTTAAGTTCATCATTTACGCCAAAGCCTCCCTCAGTTAGTTGTGGTTTGAATGAGTGTTAACCGGTTCTTTCTGGATCGGAGGTTTGTGAGAAGGGATCTGTAACGGATTCAGAGATTATTCCTGTATTTACTTGTGGGCCCA